AACACTGGGCAGAGTTTCTTTCACCCTATGCCCCTGTTACCTAGCAGTAAAATAGGTACCTGGGTGTTAGTCAGCTGTCACGGGCTGCTTCCTGGGGGTGGAGGCCTGGTCGAGGACCGGGCCGCGGGGACACTAAAAAGCCCCGAAATAATCTCAAGATAATCTCAAGATAACCATTATACGACAAAGAGTACTGGAAAGACGGGACACCACGAGCGTAGCTCTCATCCTGTAACTACACTTAGGTAATTACACACACACACACCATCAGGGATGGTAAATCGTGCCTCACAGGTTTAATAGAATTTTATGACCAGGCAACAAAAATTAGGGAAGAAAGAGAAGGGTGGGCCGACTGCATTTTCCTGGACTGTCAAAAAGCCTGACACAGTACCCCATAAAATGCAGTTTAAAAAGTTGGAGCAACAGGCAGGAGTAAAAGAGAAGGTGCTCCAGTGGATAAGGGAGTACTTAAGCAACAGGAAACAGCGAGTAACGGTGAGGGGGAGACATCACGGGGGCGAGATGTCACCAGCGGAGTCCCATAGGGCTCAGTACTTGGACCCATCCTGTTTCTAATATATGTAAACGATCTTCCGGAGGGTATAGACTCATTCCTCTCAATGTTTGCTGATGATGCAAAAATTATGAGAAGAATCAAGACGGATGAAGATAGACAGAGACTACAGGATAAACTGGAGGAATGGTCTAGAAAATTGCTGCTAAAGTTCAACTCAGGAAAGTGTAAGGTGGTGAAATTAGGCGAAGGGAGCAGGAGGCTGAACACAAGGTATCATATGGGAGGTGAAATCCTGCAAGAGTCAAATAGAGAGAAGGATCTGGGGGTTGATATCACACCGATCCTGTCCCCAGAGGCCCACATCAAAAGAATATCATCCGCGGCATATGCTAAACTGGCCAACATAAGAACTGCCTTTAGAAACTTGTGTAACGAATCTTTCAAAACCCTGTATACCACTTATGTAAGACCAATCCTGGAGTATGCAGCTCCAGCCTGGAGTCCATACCTAGTTAAACACAAGACAAAGCTGGAGAAGATTCAGCGGTATGCCACCAGGCTCGTCCCGGAACTGAGAGGAAAGAGCTACGAGGAAAGGCTAAAGGAGCTGAACCTCACATCCCTGGAAAACAGAAGAGTAAGGGGAGACATGATAACCACCTACAAAATTCTCAGAGGAATTGACAGGGTTGACAAAGACAAACTCTTCAGCACGGGTAGAACACGAAACAAGGGGACACAGGTGGAAACTTAGTACCCAGATGAGCCACAGAGACGTTAGAAAGAATTTTTTCAGTGTCAGAGTAGTTAATAAATGGAATGCTTTAGGCAGTGATGTGGTGGAGGCTGACTCCATACACAGTTTCAAATGTAGATATGATGAGAGTCCAGTAGGCTCAGGAATCTGTACACCAGTTGATTGACAGTCGAGAGGCGGGACCAAAGAGCCAAAGCTCAACCCCCGCAAGCACACTTAGGTAAGTACACACACACACACACACCGATCCAGTACATGTGAGCCCACAGGAAACCTTAAAATAAGACCATACCGTCAATACAGTTATGTCCTAGAAACACTAAACTCCCGCCAGCGGTCATGCTGGAGGATCCTGTGTGGACAGACGAGGTCAGGATACAAATGCAGAAGGCCGTCTCACCAGCCTCCACGTCCTCCCACAACAAACTTCCATCAGGTACCTAACAAAGGCTGAGGAACCACCATGCTGCATTTAAACCCGTTCATACAACTGACAGGATGAACGGTGGACCTAATATTGCTTCTCTCACTACCCACTACAAGTACTAAATACTATTCCCAATACTAATATTGTCATCGCAATGAGCTAGTGAGCCGCTGGTGCCACACTGTCAGATATCTGACGTGTTAAACGCGAGAGACATTACAATCCCACGTTACTGAGTTAATTCTGAGAATTATGAGAAGCTAGACACGCAATAACGTTGAGGGGGATGATGGTAACCCCTCTGAATACAACACAGCTGTGAAGTTTATTCTTTGGTAACGGATAGTAGTAAGGGTGCAAAATGTACCATTGGCACAGCCTGAATCACGTGTCTGTAATACAACGTCTCTGAAAAGGTTCATAACTTAGTCAATAGACAACTAATTGGCGATCGATCTTCGTGTTTTTGTTCCTTTAGATAACTGCACACAATAAGATTTGGTTAAACTAGACAGGATGCTCGTCCTGCTCCACAGATTTTCTCGTGGATATCTGAGAGTTCTATGAGTAAGGTTAGGGTCTTGGAGGATGGTAGAAATAGCCAAAGATACTCTATACCTTTGAGATGTATTTTTTCTTGTCTTAATAAACATACTTGAACTTGAACTTGTTAGGGTCTTAGAGCCCTGGGAACTACACCATTCAGCCCACCTTGCCGACTAGGCAAGGTTTGGGCGAGAGGTCTGCTTAGGTTAGGATAGGTTTCGTTATGTTGCTTTGGTTACGAGTTATATTTGCAGCAGGAATCAGACTTTGGCGGCTGACAGCACCCCAGGAAGCTGTATCCCATGAACTGTGATCTCATTAACTCGAATGTTCCCGATTATTACTGGACCAACATTAGGATTTAGCGTGATGTCATTTTGCATCCCAATATCGCAACAGTTAGCCTACAGAATGTTAAATCCCGCACTGATCGGCGCCTCCAATCCCAAATCCTTATCCTGACCCCCTTTCCAGTGCTATATAGTCGTAATAGCTTGGCGCTTCCCCCCCCCCCTGATAAGTCCTTCACTGATCGGCGCGGTAATATTAATCATGTCAAATATATTCAATGAAAATCAGGGGCACAGTAAACGAGTATCTTTGTAAGTGTCGTAAAAACCATTACGCACTCATTAGCCAAGTAACGTATTACCTTTGAGGTCATTATTTTCACGCTTAAATAATTGCGAGTAACTAAAAATGAGACTGTTAGAGAGGCTTCCTAGATGGTCTTCATACAACCTTGAGCTGCTAGTTTCGGGCCCAATATCAGAGGTCCATCAGAGGTCCAACATCAGAGGTCCGCGGTTGTTCAACGTCCTCCCAGCGACTATAAGAAATATTGCCGGAACAACCGTGGACATCTTCAAGAGAAAACTGGACGGTTTTCTAAGAGAAGTTCCGGATCAGCCGGGCTGTGGTGGGTACGTGGCCCTGCGGGCCGCTCCAAGCAACAGCCTGGTGGACCAAACTCTCACAAGTCGAGCCTGGCCTCGGGCCGGGCTTGGGGAGTAGAAGAACTCCCAGAACCCCATCAACCAGGTATCAACCAGGTAATAGAAGACGATAGTTATCTTACCATCAAGATAAAATATACAAGACAGAAGTGCTTGACACCATTACTGTTGTGTGTGTGGAGACGGTGGTGGTTGTTGTATTAGATTTAGCTACTCAGAACGAAATGTCCATGTAGCATGGGCTATGGTGAGCCCGTAATGCGGAGACGGTTGCTTGCGGATTGGTATATACAGGAGTGGATAGCTGTGTGGTGTGGACGGGAGACATCTCTCGTCACGCAGGGTGCAGTCGCACCTCCACAGATGTCCAGTACCATCTACTGATACTGGTAATTGCTCAAAAGGGCCACCACTTACGGGCGGCTTGATCTTCATCAATCAATCATCGGTGTGGTGTGTGAGTGCGCGCCAGCAGCAGCAGGAGTCGGAGGATGTGATTGTTATTGTCTAAGGATCCCCCCCCCCCCCCCCCCCCCCCCCCCGACCGTCCAAGCGGTTGAGCACCAATCCTTCCCTATCATCCCAACTCCTTATCCTGATCCCCCTTCCAAGTGCTATATAGTCGTGATGGCTTGGCGCCTTCTCCTGACGGTTCCGTTCCGGGATGATGCACTCACGACCAGGCGTCCGTGAGTGCAAGGATGAGTGCAGCTGGCGAGGTCCTCTAAACAGGACCCCTGAATGATGAAGGGTGAGTGAGTGAAGAGGGCGAAATCCCCCTACATGGAACTACCTCAAAACGAAACTGGATCCTGTTTACCCCAAGAGGCCAATCATGATCAAAAGTCCTGTGAAGTAAGGAAGCAGGTTTTCAACTCTTTTTGACCATGTCGTAGCTCAGTCGATTAAGGCAGCGTCTGGGATGCTCCCGGACGCAGGTTGGAATCCTCGGCACGGCCCTTGTGGATTTGTTCAAACTGGTGTGATGCTTGGCCCGAAACGCTCCGTGTGTTAGTGGCTTCATTTGTGAGTGCAACTCCTGTCCCTTCTTCTGTTTTGTGTACACATTCTTATGAATAAAGCTACGAATTGCGTGTGCCATTATTAAGGAGAATTATAGGACTGGATAGTTTATTAGAATTATTAATAAGTTGGCGTCATGATTTATAGCAGAGTTTAATTCCTGGAGTTTGAGGAGATTTATTCATTAAGCGAACTTAAGTTCACAAAAGTGATCGGAGTGAAGTCGATCAGTAGATCAAAGTCGACTGACTCTCTCAGTCGATCACAGTAACGTGTAAGTCTATATATAATAATGTTCGTCTCGCTTCAACCTTCTGTTTTTTTTTGTAGATCAATATCTTTCAATAACTTAAAGATGCCACAAATCCCCTCCTCCTCCTGCACCTCCTCCTCCTCCTCTCCTCATCCACAACACCCCTCTTCCTGCTCCTCCTCCTCAGCGCCCCGCGTAATGACTGCTCCTTGATGAATCTGTCTATATATGGAAGGCGCCTTCAGGACAGGTGGACGGGCCGGGGCTGGAGGCGAATGACATCTGGTAATGAAGTACAATTCACTCCCAGAACATCTTAAGTTTTATCCATTATCTATGAAATCACAGTGACACTCCTCCCGGTGCCGACAAAATGGGTGAGGGCTGGTCATCACTGGGCAGGTGAGAGGAGGTCATCACTGGCCCGGTGCCACGCGCTGCTGACCAAGAAGCTCTAGGTTGGCTCAAGGTCTGTGGGGTTAAGCTGATATAGACGGCATGTACGGTGTATAGTGGTAATGTTGTGGGTAGCTGCTGGAGATGGGGGCGAGGTAAGGGGAAGGGGGAGGAGAGAGAGGTAAGGGGAGGGTAATGGCTTGCGTGAGGGGCAACACGAGGGGAGAGCAGGCGAGGGGAAGTGACAGCTCATAATGGCGATAATGACGGTCTTCTCACTCCCTATCACCTGGCATTCGCTCAGGATGGGGATGAATTGAAGCTCCGAGCTTTGAATTCAGCCGTTTCCTTGGTCATCGAAGAGGGGGGGGGGGGTGGGTGGGGGAGCAGATGTCGCTGACTGACTGTCAGCGCGAGGGGGCGGCGGCCCCCACCCCCCACCCCTTCCCCCTTAACACCAACCCCCCCCCCTCTGTTGCTACCAAGGATCAATATCACTGTTGCAATAGTTCCCTCGTGTCATAGCACTGTGTGCTTTATGGTGTTGACTTGCCTACGAGAACGAAGGTGTGTGAAGAGCTCCACACACACACACACACACACACACACACACACACACACACACACACACACACACACACACACACACACAGAAAGGAACACTATCACTCAAGTGTTAACTTTTAGGCGGCTTACTACCTGCAGCACTCAAGTGTTGCTCATAAAATTCTAACACACTTTTAACACCCACCAAGTGCTGCTCACAACATTTTAATACACTGTTTAACACCAATTAATGCACGTTAAAATAGTTCATTTCCATACATTTCATAAGCTCTGTTATCGAATAAGTCTTGACGTTAGAATATTTTAATTTGTAATTTAAATTAGTTAATGACTTTGGACAGTGATCTGGGACAATGGTCTGGGACAGTGATCTGGGACAGTGATCTGGGACAATGATCTGGGACAGTGACCTGGGACAGTGATCTGGGACAGTGATCTGGGACAGTGATCTGGGACAGTGATCTGGGACAGTGATCTGGGACAATGATCTGGGACAATGATCTGGGACAATGATCTGGGACAGTGATCTGGGACAGTGATCTGGGACAGTGATCTGGGACAGTAATCTGGGACAGTGATCTGGGACAGTGATCTGGGACAGTGATCTGGGACAATGATCTGGGACAGTGATCTGGGACAGTGATCTGGGACAATGATCTGGGACAGTGATCTGGGACAATGATCTGGGACAATGATCTGGGACAGTGACCTGGGACAGTGATCTGGGACAGTGATCTGGGACAGTAATCTGGGACAGTGATCTGGGACAGTGATCTGGGACAATGATCTGGGACAGTGACCTGGGACAGTGATCTGGGACAGTGATCTGGGACAGTGACCTGGGACAATGATCTGGGACTGATCTGGGACAATAATCTGGGACAATGATCTGGGACAATGATCTGGGACAGTGATCTGGGACAGTGATCTGGGACAGAAATCTGGGACAGTGATCTGGGACAGTGATCTGGGACAGTGATCTGAGACAATGACCTGAGACAATAAACTGGGACAATGATCTGGGACAATGATCTGGGACAGTGATCTGGGACAATGATCTGGGACAATGATCTGGGACAGTGATCTGTTCCAATCCGGCTAAAGGTATTGTGGCTACCGTCTAGAGCTATCATTGCTACTACTGTGGGTATCGTAGCCACCATCTAGCGCTATCGTGGCCACTACCTAAAGATATCGTATCCACCCGCCTGGAGGAGAATCGTTTAACTCATATAAGGAAAATTTGAGCTTTAATTCCCAACAAATGCTTCGCTCAGCACAGCATTATTATTATTATTATCATATATATTCATATATATATATATATATATATATATATATATATATATATATATATATATATATATATTAACTAGGATAGGTTTCTTATGCGTTTCCTCTCTATCTTTCCCTCCCTCCGTCTCTCTCTCTCTCTCTCTCTCTCTCTCTCTCTCTCTCTCCCCACCTTCCCCTCAGGTAAAAACCAGTCAAGTGAGGGGGAGATGACAGGATTACAGGATTAACACTGGTGTGTATGTGAGCTGGGGTGGTGGGTGGCATCCATGCTGGGGTGGGGGTGGCATCCATGCTGGGGTAGCTGGCATCCATGCTGGGGTGGGGGTGGCATCCATGCTGAGTTGGGGGTGGCATCCATGCTGGGGTGGGTGACATCCATGCTGGGGTGGGGGTGGCATCCATGCTGGGGTGGTGGGTGGCATCCATGCTGGGGTGGGTGACATCCATTCTGGGGTGGGGGTGACATCCATGCCTCCTCATTATCTCCCACTATCAATCTGGTTAAACTAAACCCGGATTCCATCTTCTTAATGATGCTCGTCTCTGAAGGATCCTTACAAACACTCACCTCCTGTCTTCCCTCTTGCTCCCTCGCATTACCTTCCTTCTCAGCAACCTCCCTTACCCTTCCCTACCTCACTCTCTCCCTCCTCCCCCTTCCCATCCCCACCTCACCATCATCTTACCCTCATCTCTCCGCCAGTGATCACACCGAGTAGGCCTTCTCCCTCATGCTCAATCTCTACCTCTCTTTTCACCCTCTTCTCTGCTCCTCCCCCCCTTAACTCCTAGCCTATCACACCCCGCTCTCTCTCTCTCTCTCTCTCTCTCTCTCTCTCTCTCTCTCTCTCTCTCTCTCTCTCTCTCTCTCTCTCTCTCTCTCTCCCTCCCTCTCTCTCTCCCCCTCCACTGCACACTGCTCAGTCTCTACACCCCAGCGCCTACACCTGGGGCTCGTGTATCGCTGCTGGAGATTATTTCCACAGGGACCTTCGCCCCCCTTGACTGACGCACCTAAAGGCTCGGAAATTACTCGCTCTACCTCTATCAATTTTCATCTTTATTGAGAGGTGGTGGGGTGGACTTGTCTAGGAGAGCCTTGTCTTCACTCTGGGGCCCTCACCGCTCTGTGTGTGTGTTGCTGGGGTGTCTTCACTCTGGGGGCCCTCACCGCTGTGTGTGTTGCTGGGGTTGTCTTCACTCTGGGGGGCCCTCACTGCTGTGTGTGTTGCTGGGGTTGTCTTCACTCTAGGGGCCCTCACTGCTGTGTGTGTTGCTGGGGGTTGTCTTCACTCTGGGGCCCTCACTGCTGTGTGTGTTGCTGGGGGTTGTCTTCACTCTGGGGGCCCTCACTGCTGTGTGTGTTGCTGGGGTTGTTTTCACTCTTGGGGGCCCTCACTGCTGTGTGTGTTGCTGGGGTTGTCTTCACTCTGGGGGCCCTCACCGCTGTGTGTGTTGCTGGGGTTGTCTTCACTCTGGGGGCCCTCACCGCTGTGTGTGTTGCTGGGGTTGTCTTCACTCTGGAGGCCCTCACCGCTCTGTGTGTGTTGCTGGGGTTGTCTTCACTCTGGGGGCCCCCACCGCTGTGTGTGTTGCTGGGGTTGTCTTCACTCTGGGGGCCCTCACCGCTGTGTGTGTTGCTGGGGTGTCTTCACTCTGGGGGCCCCCAGTGACAATAACATCTTCACCTGTGTATGATCGTGCGAGCGTTCGTGCGAGCGTGCGTGCGAGCGAGGCACATGCAGGAGACGAGTCACATTTCCATTCAAACACACACACCTGGCTTTGGACACATGGCTTGGTTATGTATAGATGCCGAGAGCCTCACTTATACATGTGTCTGGCTTGGTGCATATATTATACATCTGGGAGCTAATGAGCAATGCTCACTTTGAACAGAATTATATGCCTCAGTGTTGTGGTGGTGGAGAGTGTGACGGTGGTGGGTGTGTGACGGTGGTGGGTGTGTGGCGGTGGTGGGTGTGTGGCGGTGGTGGGTGTGTGGCGGTGGTGGGTGTGTGACGGTGGTGGGTGTGTGGCGGTGGTGGGTGTGTGGCGGTGGTGGGTGTGTGGCGGTGGTGGGTGTGACGGTGGTGGGGTGTGGCGGTGGTGGGTGTGTGGCGGTGGTGGGTGTGGCGGTGGTGGGGGTGTGACGGTGGTGGGGGTGTGACGGTGGTGGGGGTGTGACGGTGGTGGGTGTGTGACGGTGGTGGGGTGTGGCGGTGGTGGGGTGTGACGGTGGTGGGTGTGACGGTGGTGGGTGTGACGGTGGTGGGTGTGTCGGTGGTGGGTGTGACGGTGGTGGGTGTGACGGTGGTGGGTGTGACGGTGGTGGGTGTGTGACGGTGGTGGGGTGTGGCGGTGGTGGGGGTGTGACGGTAGTGGGTGTGACGGTGGTGGGTGTGACGGGTGGGTGGGTGTGACGGTGGTGGGTGTGACGGTGGTGGGGTGTGACGGTGGTGGGTGTGACGGTGGTGGGTGTGACGGTGGTGGGGTGTGACGGTGGTGGGTGTGACGGTGGTGGGGTGTGACGGTTCAGGGTGTGACGGTTCAGGGTGTGACGGCGCAGGGTGTGACGGTGCAGGGTGTGACGGCGCAGGGTGTGACGGTGGCGGGTGTGACGGCGCAGGGTGTGACGGCGCAGGGTGTGACGGCGCAGGGTGTGACGGTTCAGGGTGTGACGGTTCAGGGTGTGACGGCTCAGGGTGTGACGGTTCAGGGTGTGACGGTTCAGGGTGTGACGGTTCAGGGTGTGACGGCGCAGGGTGTGACGGTTCAGGGTGTGACGGTTCAGGGTGTGACGGTTCAGGGTGTGACGGTTCAGGGTGTGACGGTTCAGGGTGTGACGGCGCAGGGTGTGACGGTTCAGGGTGTGACGGTTCAGGGTGTGACGGTTCAGGGTGTGACGGTTCAGGGTGTGACGGTTCAGGGTGTGACGGTTCAGGGTGTGACGGTTCAGGGTGTGACGGCGCAGGGTGTGACGGTTCAGGGGTGTTAAAGTCTCGATAAAATAACACTGATTCTAGTTGCTTTCCTAATTCCTCGCCTCAACAAGCTTCCTACCTAGTAAAGTTATGACAGGCAAAATTGTAATTAATTTTGTCAATAAAGATGTTAATATTAAAATAAAAGTTTAAATAATAACACTCACGTAAATATATAACCAAGTCAAACTCTGAAAAGGCTTCATTATTGTATTAATAGATCACGTTAAAGCCCGAACCATTTTAAATTTTAGACTCCATTACAAAAAAAAAGGTGACAAAGAAAACATTAAAAAAAAGGCTTTTGCAAATTCTTACAGAACTCCAGACACATGCTCGCGGAACCCCGGTTAGGAATCACTGCCCTAGAACACACAGATTCGTGGCTGAGCAGACAGTTCTCGTGGGTCATTATCCTAAGGGCCTGGGTTCGTTTCTCATTCGAGCTAAAAACAAATGGGGGGGGGCAGAGTTTCTTTCACCCTGAAGCACCTCTTCGCCTCGCAGTAAATAGGTACCTGGGAGTTAGACAGCTACGGGCTACTTCCTGGTTAGATGGGTTAGAAAGGCGGGGTCCAAGAGCTCGATTCTGCAGGCACAAATAGTAAATACAATCGGGAAACAGCTCAAGTAACTTCCAATATCTTTGCTCCGTCTCGTCTTCAAAGCTTCAGTAACTCCAGTCACTGCAAGTTTGGCGTCACTGGATATTTCAAATCTAAAAGCGAACTCATTCATCATTAACGGTGAAGTACGTTCCCACGGTCAGTGTCCTGGCCACGGACCGCGCTGGCCACGGACCGTGCACGCACACCGTACACACTCCACATCTACCTCCAAGACATTGCTACTAACCCAATGTAACCTTCCGAACTAATCTATAAAAGTCGTCAAAAATAAAAAGCACACAGTATTTTTTTGTATTATTACGCTTGAAAGTCTATATATATACACACACGATGGAGTAACACTGGTGAAGCTGGACTTCCCCAGCCTCACCAGGCTCGGACCCCGTCACTCTCAGGATGAGGAGAGATGCTCTGGGAAAACTTGTCGGGGGATGAGAGGTGTTTGAGCTACTCTCACCTTAGTTGCACTGTCACCCAGGGCTTCTTTGAAGCTCCCTTTGGTCATGTTAAATGAAATACTCACGACACCCAAACCCCCCAACACATTTGAAAATAGGGGAAGTGACGACGTTTCGACAGATATGGACGTCTGTTGTTTAAGATTCAGCTACTGGGAACAATAAGTTCCAAGTAGCACGGGCTATGGTGAGCCCGTAGTGGACTTACTTGGCACAGGAGCGGGGCTGTGATTCGAGAAGTGGTCGAAGTAACCGAAGTGATAATAATAATAAAGCTGAACAAGGTATATTGGTGAATTTACTCACCACAGCGCTGTTAACCAACGCCCTCGTGACATCTACATTCCCTCTCCACCACACGTCACCCATACACCGCCCATTCATCCCACCAGACCATCACCAAGATACTTATAGCTGCAAAGTTTTTTTTTCAGAATAACAGAGTTATCGCGAATAACCGAACTCAATTACGGGCTCACCATAGCCCGTGCTACATGGCCATTCTGAGTAGATAAATCTGAAACAACACCTAGTTTTCTTTATCCTGCCTTTTATATATTATGTTGTGACAGGTTTCTGGACTAGTTATAGGTATTCACCACCTTGTTTCTCCAGAAAATAATCTGCCAATTGTTTTCCATTCCTCGTGCACCCGTGCAACTGGGTGCACGAGGCAAGTGAAGGAAAAGTGCATAATCAGAAGCCACTTTTCATCCAAACATTTCTACCCAGGTTTCTGGTGGCCCTCAAGTGTGCTAAGCAATGGTGGGATATCCCAATCCCAATTCGCTTTTAATATTCACCATCATTTCAAAGTATCTCACATATGCAGCATATTGCGAATCGACCAATTTATACTCAAACTTCAGTCAATGTCTCTGACGAGATGTTCCTCTGCCTTGACAACAGAGAATAGAGTAACTCTTGTACGACACATTCTCTGGTTACTCCAGCTCAGAACTATGCCCAAAATATGACAAGTGATTTGTAGCCAAGAACCTATAAGGCATTTCCTGATAACATGACGGGTTATCTCCAAGCCTTCACTCGCGATGGTCACCCAAGACCTCGCTCCTTTATCAAGCTTTAACCATTCAGAGTTGACTGACCTCGGGTCCTGACGGCTGAGTGGACAACGCTCGGGATTCGTAGTCCTGAGGTTCCGGGTTCGATCCTCGGTGGAGGCAGAAACAAATGAGCCGAGTTTCTTTCACCCTAATGCGCCTGTTCACCTAGCAGTAAATAGGTACCTGGGAGTTAGACAGCTGCTACGGGCTGCTTCCTGGGGATGTGTAACAAAAAGGAGGCCTGGTCGAGGACCGGGCCGCGAGGACGCTAAGCCCCGAAATCATCTCAAGATAACCTCAAGAAGATAACCTCTTGGTCCACCCTCTCATCACCAGACAGTGTTCAGTTGCTCTCTTCACAAAGCTGAAGCTGTCTTATATTCTTTCATACGATTCTTATTATATTTGTTCTAGAATTTGTCCTAGCTAATATATCGCTAAGAGTGAGCCATAAATGGTCGTAAGACAAACTACTCGGGAACTACTACAATACTGTCAACTTCCCAGTTTCCTCACAGATGTTCTCCTCACAACTCCACTGTCTGTTGTCTTACCTCACTGCACGGCTTCAGCCTCCTGCACGCACGCACGCACGCACGCACGCACGCACGCACACACACACACACACACACACACACACACACACACACACACACACACACACACACACACACACACACACACACACACACTCTCTCTCTCTCTCTCAGATGAGCCCTCGAGATGCTGGAAAGTTTTCTTTTAGCGTAATAGCGAGAAAATAAAATGACTTACAGGAGCAGGTCGTAGAGGCGAACTCCAGTCACAATCTGAAAAGTAGATATGACAGGGAAATTAGCCAGGAATCACTACATTAGACAGACGGCGGCTAGGAAGGCGGGGCCCTAAGAGCTAAATAGCTCGATTCAGCACACACAAATAGGTAAAAACACACACACACACACACATACACACACACCACACACACACACACACACACACACACACACACACACACACACACACACACACACACACACAAAAAAAAAAAAAAAGAGAAAAAAAAGTAGTTAGTAAACAGTTGATTGACAGTTGAGAGGCGGGCCGAAAGAGCAAAGCTCAACCCCCGTAAAAACACAACTAGTAAACACACACACACACACACACACACACACACACACACACACACACACAAGACAAACAAAACAAAGACCAAGTTACCTGCATAAATATATAAATATTAGAAGATTGTTTTTCCCAAGGAGGTAATGGTTGATATCCTTATTAGTCCCCTCAATGTGGTTTGTTGGTACAGTTACACTTGTCTATATTATAATGAAGGTATATATATATATATATATATATATATATATATATATATATATATATATATATATATATATATATATATATATATATATATGATCTCCTTCGAGCACTAGGATGCACGTGCCAGGTTGCAACACCCACGCTCTACCTACTGGACTATGACCTCCCTTGCCTTAAACATAAGAAAACTGCAATAGGCCATGAGCCTACACGAATCAACTTTATTTCTATAGCCCAAACTCCTCCATTGCGTAACCCCTCGCTAAAACCATCCAACTAATCCCACTCCTGTTGTGTTTCTACTGATTTGTTCTATAAATCTGCAGCCCCATCTTCACAACCTGTATTTACCCTGGTCTTTCCTGAATCAAAACTTATTTATTGATATGTCCATTGATTCGCGTTCTATTTGGTGTTGATGTAAGCTTTTATTTATATATAAAAAAGGTAGCATTCAACACTCCCTTCACTCCTTCACCACCACCCCACCAGCAGTCCATCATAACCCCCCACCACCAGAACATAACCCCAACCCCCACCACATATAACCCGTTCTCGCACTTTCTTAAAGTCAATATTGACTTATTAAATAAGTGCATATGTGACATACTAATTTATTGTCAATATTTTAGTTTACCTTGAAAAGCTTCATAGAAAACACCGACCTTACCTAACCTTCTTAGTATGTTAAGATAAGCATCTTATTGCTTCGTAATTACAATTATTACTTAACCTATACCTATAATAGGTTAAGTAATAATTGTAATTACGAAGCAATAAGATGCTTATCTTATCATACTAAGAAGGTTAGGTAAGGTCGGTGTTTTCTATGAAGCTTTTCAAGGTAAACTAAAATATTGACAATAAATTAGTATGTCACATATGCACTTATTTAATAAGTCAATATTGACTTTAAGAAAGTGCGAGAACGGGTTGCCACATAACTCTACACCTAACCCCCAGCTCCACACCATAACATAACCCCCACTAAAACATAACCCCACCACCACTACATAACCTCACCCTCCCACAACACACCCCGACGACCACACCCACCACCCACCCCCACAACATACCCCTGGAGTATAACCTCACCGCAACATAACACACCCCAGTATCACCCCAACATAACCCCCCCCCCTAGTATCACCGCAACATAACCACCCCAGTATCACCGCAACATAACTCCCCCCCCCCTAGTATCACCCCAACATAACTCCCCCCCCCTAGTATCACCGCAACATAACTCCCCCCCCTAGTATCACCGCAACATAACGCCCCCAGTATCACCGCAACATAACTCCCCCCCCCCCTAGTATCACCGCAACATAACTCCCCCCCTAGTATCACCGCAACATAACGCCCCCAGTATCACCGCAACATAACTCCCCCCCCTAGTATCACCCCAACATAACGCCCCCAGTATCACCCCAACATAACTCCCCCCCCCCTAGTATCACCCCAACATAACCCCCCCAGTATCACCGCAACATAACTCCCCCCCCCTAGTATCACCCCAACATAACTCC